GTTGTCATTCTTACACTATAATACTGAACTTTGATTTCAGTGATTTGGACTATGAGATGGACACTTGCTTCTTACACTCTATGTTGCACTTTACTTTTGCTTTAAAAAAAGGATTTCATAGAAATTTGGATTTCATTTGGTTTAATAAAATATAGTTTAATAAAATATTCTTAAGTAAAATTGTTGATTTTTTTGTGGGAAATTAATAGTTTAGATTAATCGATAAATTAGTCGATAGATTAATCGAAATAAAAATCGTCGTTAGTGGCAGCCCTAGTAAATATTAAGCCGCAAAACAGTTCGTATTTAAATGAATTCTGCGTGTCTCTGTCAATGAATGGCGCAGACATGCGTTTTTTTTTTACCACTCAGACTGAAGCGCGCGTGACGCTTGCGGTGATTTTAGCGTCTGCCGTCTCACTAAATGAGGACATAAATACATGAACAACATCTCCAGAACTGCTCTGACATTGGCAGAAATATATTACTATGTTCAGTAGAATGTACATAACAGGCTGCTGCTACTACTACTACTACAATTATTAAAACCTTATTTTTAAGGAATAATCATACAATATTTCTTCAGTGTTTTAATTGTAGTATTAAATTATCTTTATTTTCAAAAAAATAAAATTTGTTTAATTTTCATTACTTAAAAGATAGATTAAATGAATGTTTTATGCCTTAAAATATAAACACAACACAGAATTTGAGCAAAAAATCTATTGTAAGAATAAATGAGACTTGTTTTTATGCTTTCAAATAATTAGACATGCTAAAACAGAATGTGGGAACAATAAAACATAAGGTTGGAAAAAATAAAACATTTCATAGGGCCCTAAACATGTAATATTTGTTAAACTTTTAATAAATTGATGTTAAATTGTTTAAGTTTCATGATTTTAATTAAGTAGACATGCTTTTTGACTAATACAATTTAATTTAACCATTAAAAAGGAGTCCCCCCCAAAAGCCATAAACCTAGGGGAAACACTGCTGACTCTTCATTCTTGATCCGACACTATAAAGTGTCATTCCTGATCTGACAATATATATTTTTGTTAAGGAAAAATGACTGGAAAAGTGTAAAGCACTCAAGAACATGAATTGTTTTTCATGTTTTGACAATAAAGAGTAGTTTAAAAGTACAACTAACGGTCTGGTTTCTACAACATTCACTTAGGAGCAAAAATCTGCCTTTAAACTTGAAAGAAATAAAGATTTGAAATTTATGATGATAATTATCGATATCGACTGATATGAAAAATTTCATCGTAATAGTTTTTTGGCCATATTGCCCAGCCCTACTCAAACTCTTCTCACTGGATGCCATAGCACTGTTTAGTGGTTGTGTGATTGAGACTGTCTGCAAGTAAATGCATTTTCTCTAAACTTGCGCTGTGCTGTCTTTTGAGCAGAGCTGCTAAATGTGTGTGTGGCATGGTTCAAACGAGTTGCTCTGTTTGGTTCTGCTTTTGGTGCATTGGCAGTTTAATGTTTCTCATATGCAACAGAAATGGCAATGCTTATCATTTAGGTAAACTGGTATTATTTTATCACCCATTCCTAATTAGAAGTTGTAAAACATACTTTGATGCCATCTTTAGGATCCTCTCTGATACTGATGATGGGTTTGTCCTTTGATGTGCACAGCAGGTCCAGTATCTCTTCATTGTAAATCTAAGTTTAAAAAGAATAACACCATTGAGTTACACAAAATGAATATTGACTTCATTCATAAATTAAATCCATAAAGGAGAACAAGATGGTACAGAAGCATTTATACCTCAAGGTAAGATACAGCCAACAAAAATTCACAGTCTGCACATTTAGACTTTTCTTGAAAGATTCTTCGTATCACTCGTGGGATAACCCCAACCGTGGACTCGTTCTCTTGTTCTGATGTGTATGTGCCACCCATAGAGAATGTCTTCCCTGACCCTGTCTGCCCATAGGCCAAAACGGTGGCATTATAACCTGCAAATGCAAACAAAGAAAAAAAGAAAAGAAAAAAAAAGACATTTGTGAAATTTCTCAAAATATCTTGTTTCACACAAGAAAGTCATATAGGTTTAGAAAACCGTGAGTGTGAATCAACAATGACAATTTTCATTTTTGGGTAAACTATGCCTTTAAGATTGGTCAAGATAAAAAAAAATTATTACTTGTGGTAAATTATATATGTGAAATGTATTTGTTGGACATGTCTAATAAGATAACCAACCAATTCAAATAAATAATAATAAATAAATACATTTTTGCTTCACTCAGATGTGTTACAATAGAGAAGACCATTGCAAATTCCGTCTCATGCCAAACAGTGACCGTTTATCAGATTTGGTTTGTATGGAGCACCTAAGGGGACAAGGTGGAATAGAGGTTGACCGATTGATTGGTTTTGCGGATTAATTCAGCACTGTCAGTTATCGCCAAAAATCCGCAAAGTTTTTCCAGGTTGCATCCATTGCTGGAGCATCTGAGAAGGGTCTGCTGTCATTATACACTAATTAATCTTTTAACTAGATGCTGCATTAGTGGAGAACAGCAGTGTTTGCCGACACGGCTGAGAGGATGCTAGCATTAGTCACACCTCATGTGGTTAAAACAATGTGACAAAAATACACTCAAGCCCGACCCAAATGTTTGATGTCATGATTGTTACCATCTATTTGCATTAGTTTATAATCAGCTGGTTAATCATGCATTCCTTAGCCTGTGAAGCCACACAATTAAAGCTAGTGATGCAAGTAAGCAAATTGACATGTTCATGCAGCCATAGGGGGTGTGCGATATTTATTGTCTATGATAATATCGTAATTCTTATTTTAAGTATATGGGAGCTGACATTAGAGTATATATATGTCACTCATTTTGCAAAAAAAGCAAAGATATGTTGAGTCCAAAAGTACTCACTGCATGATGAATTCAATTAGAATGCCCCTAGAATTCTAGTTATGAAAGCAAATAATAGCCCTGTATGGGTTTTTACATTACATTACATTTAGTCATTTAGCAGACACTTTTATCCAAAGCGACTTACAAATGAGGACAATGGAAGCAATCAAAATCAACAAAAGAGCAATGATATACAAGTGCTATAACAAGTCTCAGTTAGCTTAACGCAGTACAAGTAGCAAGCGTTTTTTAAAGAATATAATAAATAAAAAGAAAACCGATAGAATAGAAAAAGAATAGAGCAAGCTAGTGTTAAAAGGTCTTTTTGCTTTTGTTAATTGTATAATAAATGAAAAGAAAACCGATAGAATACAAAAAGATTAGAAAGCAAGTGTTAGTTGTTGTTTTTTTTAAAGAAAACAAGCAGCAAATGAATAGAGTGCAAGTCTAAAAGGGACAAGTGTTTTATTTTTTTAGAATAGAATTAGAATAGAGTGTGCTAGAGTTAGAGGGTCAAATAAAGATGGAAGAGATGTGTTTTTAGCCGATTCTTGAAGATGATTAAGGACTCAGCTACTCGGATTGAGTTGGGCAGGTCATTCCACCAGGAGGGAACAAGTCCGTAAAAGTGATTTATTTTGGTTTTTGTATTTTATACTTATGAGATATGATACAGGTTACATAAAAACACACAAGCAAGAGTACCGTTTTTCCGAATATCAGCATGTGACCATGACCGCAAATGTGATAAAGATTTTAAAGAGTTCAACAAACAAGAAGGTAATATTGAGTGAGTTACACTTTAGACACAATATTCCCTGGTCTTCTCCGACAAAAAGAGCTCCAAACAAAGCTGGATAAGATCAGCTCTAGATGCCATTTACACTTATTGAAAATAGTGATATCTTCTATTTACCATCTAAAAGTAGCAGTTCTTTGCAATAAGTGTAAATAAATTAGATGCTATTTATACTTTATACTGGCAGATACAAACTATTTGCACCTCGGTATTGTTGTACATTAACAGGATGCAATAACAGTGTAAATTATTGTATTCATTAAAATTATAAATACTTTTATCATTATTAAACACTCGTTAAGCACTTTACTTCCACTTTTAGAACATTCTTCATTTTTATTGAAAATAAATTCTAATGTGATATGTGATGGGAAAAGTAAAAAGAGCGAGCTCGGCAAAAGCCGGACTCAAAACTGGTCAATCGTGTCACAAGCTAGTTCTCCACACCCAATCCGTTACTGCCTGCACTACTGAAGCCGTTATTCATGCGCGTCGTATTTGACCTTTTGTGGCATTGGAGGGCAGAGCTACTGTAAATTTGCACTTAGTAATAGACAATCCTAATAATCTTGTTTTCCATTTGCATTAAGATTATTTTTATTACCACACTGGCAGACAATTTTACTTAAAGGGGTCCTATTATGCTCTTTTACATATTCGTCGTAGTCCAAATGAGTCATTCGTTGTAGTTTTTGAAAAGTGATTTGTTAAATAAAATAGCTCCTTTTGAATTGGACTTTGAGCTTTGTAAATTTGCAGATCTTTTTTATGCTCAAACAGCAACATTACAGAATAACTAAAGTTGAAAAAGTGAAAAAGCATAATAGGACCCCTTTAAGTAAAATGCACTTCATTTAGATCCCCCTCAGGAAACAAGACTAAATATCTTATATCATTTTCTTATATAGAAAATCCATATTGATTTAAGAATTTTGAGATATTTGTACTTGAAATAAGAAAAAAATACTTAGTAAGAAAATCATTTTGCAGCGTGCATGAATGAAGTATTTAAACATCGCTTGCGCTTTAAAAAGGGGGAGGAGACAGAAAGAAACTCTGGGTTTCCCGAAGAAAACCTGCTCCTGACCAGATTAGGTTCACAGAGTAAGTTATCATGGTAACTGACTCCGAGTATAAGTTAACTCCCTTTCAGAAACGGGCTCGACTTACCCTGCTTTCTCGGGTTTGACATACCTGCAATTCTGAAACGGAAAAACCAGAGTTACCCTCATTTCAGGGTTAACATACTCAGAGTTTTCACTTAACCTCCTTTATGAAACGGGCCCCAGATGTTTTATTGGGCTATTATTATTTTTACATTTAGATATCCATGTTTGGCAGAGATCAAATCCTTCAATAAGAGCTTTTCTGTTAAACCGATACGTACTCTGCCCAGCTTTTTGCTTTATGCAATCTGGCAACCATTCACACGCGCTCTCTCTGCGGAGGTGCCGTGATCTGAAAACACCGACTTATGGTACTGTACAAGTAAGCTGGAGTTCAGCGATCTCCATTAGAGGTATTCTTCTTAAATGAAAGTGTCATTCAGCCAGTCTGTGTTCTGTCATGGATCTCGACTGTATTGTTTGCGATAGTGGCTGCTGATTGTAACGTTACTTAAGCAACCTCTGTGAAGCAATACGTTTTTTTGCAGTTGTTTTAAAAGAGAAACATTAATGCAATTTGGAATTATTGGAATTACTATTAGGAATTTCTCTTATTATATTTGAGAGTAGATTTTTGTTACACCAGTTTTCATAACGTAGACAGGGCGAGTGTATATCTGAAGTCTTTGGTGTTTATTTAGCCTCTAATTGATATCCTGTTATAAATCTGTACACTAACGTTAGATGAGGTAAAATAAACCATGCATACGAGTCGATATTCTATTGATTTGTGCTTATTGGTGAAAGAACAACTTCCGATGAAATTTAAAAATAAATTTCCCAAATGACAACAATCATTGCAATTCAAATTCAGCAAAATAATTTTTTTCATCATTTTAACCATTATACAGTAAGAAGAAATTATGACGAAAATGTGTAAGTTTCCACTGACTAAAACTAGACTAAAATGCTCAGACATTTAGTCGACTAAAACTTGACTAGAACTAAAAAAAGACAAGTTGACTAAATATGATAAAAACAAAAAAAAAACAAAAAAGTTACATTTGACAGGACCAAGACAATTAAAAATAGCTGACAAAATTAACACTATCACAACCTTGGTTTATTTGAGCGGTCGGACCATCTGAGTGATATATGGCAGATAAAAATAACTATTTGCAGAATTCTCGTTTTCTGCAGTGAAAGTATCAATCTATTTCGCTGCTCACTATGTTTCTACTACTGCTGATAAAATTATTGCATCATTACATCTTTAGCTGGGCAGCAGAGAGTGCTTAAATTAAGTAAGTTTGGCTCTAGATAAAAATACAGGATATAGTGCCGAAAGATCATTACCATAAACAACCCTGAGTGCTTGTAATGTATACAGCCATGTTGTTTTGATATGCTGCTCCCTTTAAACTGTAGAAACTGTCAAATGGTGCGGTCATGAAATAAAAAATATTTTAAATTAGGGCTGCAACTAACAATTATTTTCATAATCGATTAGTTTGGTCTGTTATTTTTCCGATTAATCGGTTACTTTATTTTTTAAATGTTACTGACAAAAAACACACTCTGCCACATTCTGCCCAGTGTCCTTCAAACAAACGTGCCAACTGAATGCTATGAAAACATAAAGTGCTTAATTTATTAGACCACCTGCAATAATAAAGAGAAAACATTTTAGGAATTTTAGGAATCTGTCAAAAAATTGTTTAAATCAAAAAATGTTATTGTCATTTATTGGGCAAATAAACTTAAACAACTAAATTATTAAATTTATTCACATAAAAAATGGCCTCCTATGCCGTTCATAACAGCTTGCATTCTTGCTGGCATTGTTTATGTACTTTTTGACTGTAATTGGGTATCTGAAAAAAAAAACACTATAAAGCTCTCTGCCTTTCTTTCACAGATAACAGCAATAATTATATTATAGCATTAGAAATAGCCTACTACTGTTACTAAAGAGTTTACGCATATTGAAGGACCAACCAATACAGAAAACTAAAAAATTATTTTGGTAATCACCAGTACTGTTAGTTTAGAGCAGCAGTGACACAAACCATAATTTGTTAAAAACCTAAATAACCTACATAAATTTGTTTTAATAAATTTGTTAAGCATTGTATATAGTGAATATAGTTTAAATCTCTGCATTAAAAATTAAAATAATAATAAAGATGATGAAGACGCGCACTCATCATCTGTCAAAGCGCCTGACAGGGCAAGCCATTACGCATTAGCTTAAAGCTTAAAATAAAGAATTCTCATGTTTTGGGCAGCTTGGATCACGTAACTCTCCCGCAGCATCTCATTCTGTTTCCTCCACTATTTTTAGATGCATTTTGTCCATAGAAATGCGTAATTCAGTGCTGTAATTTGACGCAACCTGCTGAAGTTGGACATGCACTGAGGGCAGACCCGACTAATCGATAATGAAAATCGTTGTCGATGATTTTCATAATCGATATTAATCGATTTTTCCAATTGATTGTATGCAGTATATTTAAAATAGGGCAGCAACAACTAGTGTCACGGAACAGACACTGTACTGATTCAGTGGCGCTGTACAACTGATTGTGTATTTTCAACAAATGCTGATGTTAACATTGACACCATGCTGGTGTGACCAAATTTAGCCACTTTGGGCTGCAAAAATCAGGGGGAAAAAGTATCAAAAATTCTAGCGGGACTGCTTTACAAACCTCTAAAAAGCCCTGACAATAATGGAGACACAGCAGTGTTAAATACTTCCTCCTGCTCTGTTGTGGGGTCAAAGACATAATCATAGGTGAAAGCCTTGTCATTTCCCACGATCACCTGAAAGGAAAACAAGATTTAATTAATATTTAACAACATGACTTTTTGATGCATAAATGTGAATAAAATAAGCAAGGTCTCATGACACAGACCTGAGGTTCACCGGGAACAAAAGTGAGACAGCACTGACATCCTTCATTGATCTCTTTGGAAACCAAAGGCCGGCATCTCATCACAACCCTCACAGGAATTACCTTCTCATCCTCCTTAGTCATCCTGGAAGAGCAGATAAAGTCACCAATTACAACCTGAACTCACATATTGTCTGAAAAAGCCAGTTTGCACAAAGGAAGACAAGCCAGGGCTCTACGCTTACTTTACTTTTTAGGAGCGCTTCCTAATTGAAAAATTTTAGGAGCACCTTCTAATCAATAATCCAAAGTTTGATTAAAAAAAAATTAGCCTTCCCATTACGAGGTGATATTTGACTCAAAGTGATTTACAGTGGAAATTTGTTTTTACCTTTGTAATGGCATTTTTTAAACTTTATTAAAAGTATGTCATCTTTTATGTCAAATTAAAAATATATATATTTTATAAGCTTTTTAAAAATTCTAATTAAAACGACAGAATAAGAACAAGTAGAATAAGAAGAATAAGTTACCAATCAAATTATAGTTTAGAAAATGGTAATAAAATACGAAAAGAACTCAGAGTTCAACTGTGTCGGAACAAACTCAGCTTGATAATGCTAGATAACTTTGATAGAAAGGTATGTAATGGATTACAATCAACCAAAAAGACAGCTGTTAGTATGACCATATTTACACAACTATCAATACTTAGTCGGGCAACTCTTAGCCTTAATGACAGCCTGTAGTCTCCTGGCCTGGGCATGCTGTCATCCAGGTTCATGCAAACCTGAACTTCATTTTTTTTCCCAGACTCTGTCTGAATAATTTTTGGTCCCAAATTTTTATCAGTTTTACTGGTAGTCCACTGTGTGAAGAATTTTTAGGTATAATTTGTCACAGTTTACTTTATTTTGCTATCCTCTTTTACATAAATTAACTATAGTGTCCTGCACCCACTAGTAAAAACTTTTTTTTTTTAATTATATCTGGCCTCTGTATAATTTTTGGTTTGACTGTATATCCTTCGGTTATTTTCACACTTAATTATGCCCATTAAAATGTATTTTACAAGTTTTTGTTACTTTCACTGTTCTTTTTTTTTTTGCTCTATGGTACATCATCTTTCATTTAATAGCATTAGAGCTGCTCCATTGCAGCGGCTTAGTACTGTAATCACACACTTTGCTGTAATAATGCTGGGAACCACTCGTTATAAATCTCCTAACCATGATATTTTCAGAAATAGAAATCGCGGTTTTTTTTTTCATCTGAAACGTGCTGCGATTTATATTCCAAAGCCACTCATATAATGCAGAAACACTCAAGCAAGCAAAACACGTGCACGTATTTGTACTGGAGCAGAATGAGCGGGACAAGTAGTACAGCCTAGCGCATTTCACACAGGCTGCTAGATTCACTTTAGCCAGAAAGTCGTGTATGCCTAGGGTTGAAAATAAATTATGTTTATAGTGAATGCCCCTATATAAATGGTCTTATTTTTACGGTTTAGTTTTAATCCAAATGATGCATGTGCTAAGTGAGTGAACATCAAAGACCACACAACTGAAGCGCGCGCACTCTCTCTCTCTCCCTCCCTACCGTTAAGTAACTTGTGGATTGTTTTACTTGTTTTTGACACATCCGACCGAACTACAAACTTTCCAGTGATGTCTGTGAGAAAGGTATATTCACTCGACAAGTTTGCGCATGTGCGCCGCCGCGCGCTCAACCCACTCTCCGTGCTTTGCTTATCAGCTTGCACACGTCAGCTATACAGGCGTTAATACTGAATTTTAACATTATATTCATTGCATACATATACTTCGTAGAAATTAGAGCCCGACCGATATATCGTTTTGCCGATATTATCAGCTGATATGAGCCTGTCGCCGATATATCGGTATTGGCGAATATGCCGCCGATATGAACTTTTTTTTACAGAACATATAACGCAGATAAAATGCTTGAAATGGTGTAATTAGTTTGTCCAGCAGAGCGCGCTCCATTGTTTGCTACTGGCAACCTGGATGAAACGCTTTAAAGCTTATGTCTA